TCCCCGTGAAGGAACAGCTACAGTCTCAGGGAGCTTTCCTGGGGAAGTGACTCTAGGAAGTCACCCATCTTCTACCTCATGGACGAAAAGTTGGTCTCGGAGTGAACAAAACTAGCCTCATCGGGAGCCCACAAACCAGGCAGCGGTTCGGGAACGGCGGACAGGAGCCACTGCAGCAGGGCCCCAGCAGGCCGCCCTGTGATCCCTGGCACACCACTGAGTGTGTGGCAATCAAGCACACACGCCCACTGGCCATCACAGCAACAGCCGAGGCCCTGACCACTACTGACGGACACACGCCTCTCCTAAGGATGGTCCGGGCCCCATCCCTGGTGCTGCAGCGTCCCCCACCTCTTCATCTCTCAGAGACCCCAGAGCAAGGCACCATGAATAGCCCCTGAACACTGAGTGTGGCACACCCCCCCCCCCCAAAATAGAACAAGCCTTTGAGAGACCAAGACAGGAAGCCTCCCAGGGTATGAGAGGGAAGTTTTCCAAGCAGAATTCCCTGCTGAACTCCCTCCTTCCCCCTTTTTTTTTAACCTCAATCCTAACCCTAGGCCATGAAGTGGGAACTCCTTTCTTTACATCTTGCCCTAGGGGCAGCTTTTACGTGCCTGGACACAGCATTATTTCATTCATTCTTATGTTAAAAATCTAAACATTCAACAGATGAAACCGAAAATAAAATAAGTTTGATGTGCCAGGGTTTCCATTAGCATGACTCCTTTTATTTGACCCTATCCAGGAAGACGAGGATCAAGCCCCATGTCCAAGGCCTCAGTGCGCAGAGAGAAGGCACTGACAGGTGGGCACGAAAAGGAGAAGGAAAGTCGCCCGGACCGGCACGTTACACAGCCACTATTCTGTCAGTGCTTATTCTAGTGTCTAAATGCCCTAACAGAGTGACTCCACAACAGTTTTCCTGCAAGAGGTCCTCAAGCCACTTTCCTCTTTTAACTCAATTTACTAAAGTCGCAAAAATGCTTTTGTCCCAGACACGAGGCCTGTGGTCATCTATGCGCACCGCTCACCATGCCACCCAGTCACTCGGGCGGTCGCCACTGCTGTTGGCATTGTATCTCGTGAGCTGGGAAACCCAGTATCTGTGCCTGCGCCTCCCTGGCTCCCCATCACGCGAACATCTTGGCAACAGTCTCCACAGCTCTCCCAGGAGCAGCAACTGACCTCTGAACAGGTCACACCGCAGGCCCCTATTTCAAACTACTGGAGGTAAAAGGAGCCCAAGGCACAGAGACCCCAGGGAAAGCATGTTGAGAAATGGTTGAGGGCAGGAGAGAGCACTGGGATGAAGCCTCTACACGGACATGAGCACTGAGTCTGGAGCAGCCACTGAGGACTACTGGGCATGGTCCAATAACCGCTCATGCCCCAAAGGGTAGGGAAAAAAAAAACATTTTTTTTTTTTGCTTTTTTGGGTCACACCCAGCGATGCTCAGGGGTTATTCCTGGCTCAGCACTCAGGAATTACTCCTGGCGGTGCTTAGGGGACCATATGGGATGCCAGGGATTGAACCCAGGTCGGCTGCATGCAAGGCAAACGCCCTACCCGCTATGATATCGCTCCGCCCCCCCAAAAAAATTATTTAAAAAAAAGTAAGATTAGGGGCTGGAGAGATAGCACAGTGGGGAGGGCATTGACCTTGCAAGCGGCTGACCTGGGTTTGATTCCCAGCATCCCATATGTTCCCCTGAGCACCGCCAGGAGTAACTCCTGAGTGTAGAGCCAGGAGGAACCCCTGTGCATCGCCAGGTGTGACCCAAAAAGCAAAAAAAAAAAAAGTAAGATTTAAAAAACAATTAATGGGGCTGGTAGGGCGTTTGCCTTGCACGCGGCTGACCCGGGTTCGATTCCCAGCATCCCATATGGTCCCCTGAGCACTGCCAGGAGTAACTCCTGAGTGCAGAGCCAGGAGTAACCCCTGAGCATCACTGGGTGTGACCCAAAAAGCAATAAATAAATAAATAAAAACAATTAAGAATGTTCTTCAACTAACCACTAGCCTCTTAAGAGAAACTATTCTAAGGTGTCAGGCGCGCGCCAAGCTGCGTAACTTCATTTCTAGCTGAAAATACAACTCAACGATGTGGCAAAGAACCCAACTCATACTCTGACGCACAAACACATCAAACTTTTATTCTGCTGCGTAAGACTTTATGCTCCCCCTTCATTTGCATAGCCAACAGCAACCTCAGCAACACGTCTGGCATTTATCTTATTTCTATCCCCTTGACACAAGGCAGGGAGGGAACCGGAGGCTGGCCTCCGCGGAAACAGCGACAACCCCGCTGCCTTTTCGACAGGGGGTGGGAGAGACACACACAATGGGAAGAGGACTTTGCTGGCAAGGCATGGACACAGAAAACAGCAGAAGGCAATGTGTCAATATGTCACCGTTACTCCTTTATTCTTCAACATGCTCCACGGAATATAAATTACTTTTAAAGTCCAACAGAAGAAGAGGCCAATCTCTAATGGACATAACAGCGCGATGGGTGAAAAACAAAATCTTTCAAAGCAGCAGCTCGGTGAAGGACAAATGGAGAAAGAATGACGCAGTGAAGCCTGTGCTTATAATCCTTATCATTACCAAAGATTCAGCAAGACTTACTGTGGACAGATAGGATGCGTGGACCGTTAATACACATTTTAGCCACTGGACCATTAAAGCAGCACTGAAAAAAGGAAAAAAAAAAATTCAAGTGAACTAACGCCCAGGAATGCAAAATTAAATACAACTGTGCTATACTAACACTCTAAAAGACAGCATTTCAAAATATTACATTCAACTTATTTTATTTCCTTATGGAGGCAGGGCGCTTTCCTTGCAAGCGGATGACCCAGGTTTGATCCCCTCAACTAATGGAGGGAGCTAAGCCTTGAGTACACAGCCCAGAGTACTGCTGGGTGTGGTCCCAAAACAACCAACTATTTCCTACTTAATGATACCAAGGCAATCGAATAGGCCAACCAGACTTTGCTAGTACTTGAGTTCATCCACTCACCACCAGGCACAAGATGTCTGTGTCAACATAAAAAGACGTAAATCAGCTCAGCTCCAAGTATGTGTAAGCCGGGCTTGAAAGGAGCCACTCAGCTTTCCTGTGTGACTCTCAAAGCCACCTAACTGGGGTGGGACTTTCTGCTGTCGACACTGTTCCCGTAATTTGGCCGTACAGAATCTGTAGGGTCCACCATGCCTATTTAAATACTTAGTCATCAAGGCCCTAAAACAAGGACCTACCAAAGCGAGTCCTGTGACTGCAATTTCACACAGGCTTAGGAAAAATCTTGGAGTGAGACAAATTCATGAAATGTCCTAACAATTAAGCAGAAAAAAACTAGATAGGAACGTTATAAACCAAAAAACTCGCGAAACATTATGAACAGCAGTAATTCCACCTGGGTGGGGTAAGAGTGCCCCAGTGGCAGCGCGTGTGCTGGCATGCGCTTAGGCCCTAAGCTGGGTCCCTGGCACTGCTGGGTGTGACCAAAGAGGCAGCTGAGCCCCAAAAAGCTGACTGCAGCCCACAAGCATTTCCTCTCCACCCCCCCTCCCCGCCCCCATGGAGCCATTCAGTCTAAAATAAAGGAGGAGAGTACCATTGAGCACGAATTATCAGTCAGAATTCGAGACCACTATAAATTCCATGCTTTTTAAATAATCACCTAGTGCAAAAATAATGGAACAAAGCAACGTAGAAGAGACATCTTACCTATTCGGATGGCCCTGCAGTCGCTTTGTGAGCTGGAAAGAAGAAAACAGCGTTAGCCATGGCAGCCCATTTCAACTAGTTTGACAAGAGCCACAAGGACCAAATCCACAAATCACAATGGATACATAGTTCCTAAATTTCCTAATTCCTTAAACCAATATCCTAGAATACGTTCCCAAAATATAAGTACTGGCCTGAAGAAAATCTGGGCTACAACTGTTAAGATCCCACACAGATTAGTGACCAGAGAGCCGGGACTAAAGCACAGGGTACGATGTCTCTTTCCAGTGCCAACTTGAATCTTTCCAGACTAATCACACCACCCGAGAACAGACAGTAACAAGCTGAAAAGCAACTCATCACAATACAAAACACACAAAAAATTCTAGGCTAGAACCAGAGAGCCAGTGCAAGGGGCAGAGCGTTCGAGGGCGTTTGCACGCACACATCACACCCGCCCCAGCACCACCTATGCCTCCCTGAGCACCTGCAGGACTGACCCTGAAGTAAGCCCTGAAGCCCTGATTCCCCCACCCTTTGTGTGTGTGTGTGTGTGTGTGTGTGTCCACACACACACACTACCATTTCTTTACCCATTTCTCCGGGAACAAGTATAGAGGGTAAGGCTTTTGCCTTACATATGGCTGACCCAGGATCAATTCCTCAGAACCCACTATGGTCTCCTGAACCTGCCAGAAGTGATTTCTGAGTACTAACTCAGGAGTTAAGTCCTAAGCAACTCCAAGGAGGTGTGAGGCCAAACCAAAAAGAGCAAAAGTTAAAAAATTAAAATATCACTTCCTTTGTCACTAACAGGGGACCAGTGCACACCGACTGTCTCATGGGGCCAGGGAAGCCCTTGGGGTGGGCCAGTGTGCTGCAAAGCAGTGACCAGAGGCAGCTGTGAGGTCCTCAGAGGCAATCTGGTCAGAGACCCGTAATTTCGGGTGTATCTGACCCCCAGACCATCTGGGACAAGCCGCTCCTCAGACCCCGTCTTCGAACACATCCGCGTTCAACTTGATAAAGCCCTACCTCTGGGAACCGCGAAATCTTCTGGCTGCCTGCGAACTTGAACTTGGCCTGGTGTAAAACCTCAATCACAAACTCCCTGTTGTGCAATTTGGTGCGGATGGACAGGTGATTTGGCCAATGCAGGCCCTGGTCATTGTGCTGGAAGGCCTTCCTGAGGCCCCCCTGAACAGCTGTTTGCAGCCTGAGACGGGGGCGGCACGAGAGCAGATAGATTCACCCACAACAGACGCTGTCTCCAAGGTCCCTTATGACAGCCCATACAGGCCACAGGCTGCAGACACAACCAAGGAGGCTGCTGCGTCGGCAGCCACTGCACACCGCGCCCCACGGAGCAGAGAGCACAGTCGGCTTAACTGGCTGCACACTTTCGACTTCATATATTCGTTGGGGGGTTTGAGCAAGTTCTGACATGGTGGGAGGAACACAGGTTCAAGTGCATCAGGCACCTTAATCCCTGTACTATCTGATCAAAACAACCTACAGGCATAGGCCAGTGTCCTTTTAAGAGACAATAGGATTTTATGAAGTGACTAAGGACTCTACTACACGTGATAGTCTTTCTATACCCTCACTGCCAAGTAGATGGCCCCAGGCCCTGGATTTCACTGAGCTGGGGGTTGGAGGTGTCACTGTTTCTTGGTAACACTCACAAGCTGTCTGTCACTGCAGTTTCCTGTCCTTAGGAGTCGCGCCTACCCCTCTCATGTGTAGACTTACCCCACCTTAACACCCTTAAGAAGAATTACTACTGTAAAGCCAGAAGCAACATTTGACAGAAGTAGTGAGTTACTCACATACAGAGAAAGAACGGATCACCTTGTAACTGCCAGGCAATTAATATGACTTTTGTGGTGGAGAAAATCAAAACGCACAAAAGCAACGTGATGCTGAGGACAGCTCACAAGATACAGCGAGAAAGAACAAAAAGAGAATTTGGGGCTCTAGGTTGGGGTTTCATTAACCACCATTCCCTTGTGACCATCATCCCACACTTACAAATTCTAGATTCACCTGAAAACTTCTGGTCCCCTCAGATAAAGACGAGAAAAACAGGCATTTCCTTCCACAACTGCCTCAGGAATTCAGATTTTCCTTCTCTTGCGTAGGACTTCCTCCTCGCCATCTCTCATTTGCCGTTTCAATGCGCTGCTTCACACGCCCGCGCCCACCGAGACCGTCCCCAGTCTATCGTTTTCACTTAATCCCAAAACTGAATGCAGGTCCTCTGTCATGTACATGTTTAGCGAAGACCTGGAAATCTTCTAAGTTATGGCCTCTGTCTACCACCAAGTCACTGAATCACCAGGCATTCATCAAGATTGGGGGGGCGGGGGGGGATAAAAATGAAATGCCCTGCTTCCTTACAGACTGCCACCCCCTCTTCTTTTAACCCCTCCCCCACTCCTCTTTGAACTCACAGCATTAGGAACTTAAACAGGAGACTTGGTTACCTCTTGTAACAATGGAATAACAGCATGCAGGGGCATCCTTAATACAGTCTTCTTTATTAGGTTTAGATTCCTAGTTTGAAGCACTTTCTGTGAGAAAAATAAAAGGAATATCAAGATAAGCAAACTCAGAAGCTGGGAGGCAACAAGAAAAAGCAGGTAAGTATCATTAAGAAGGTCAAGGTGATCCATTACCACTGAAGCAGCGACTAAGAGCTGGGGGGTGGGGGGGTGCGGCTGACTGGGGGCTTGACCCTTAAGGCCACGGACAAGGGCAGTCCTCAGTGATCAGGACTTTTACTGACAAGCTTCCTACAAATCATAATTTCGATCGACTTCCTGAAAATAAAAGAACATCTATAGACATTCGGGTAGCAACAGGGGCTGAGGATGCAGTCCAGAGTAGACCACGTGCTTCACATGACTGAACCCTGGGCTCAAGCGCCCCCCAAAAAGGCAAGAAACTAATCTCAAATTTGCAGGCACTCTTGAATAAGCTTTCTCGCTCGCTCTCTCATGCTCTCCCCCAAGGAAACTTTCAGTAAAAACTATTCTGCTTCATTAAAAAAAAATTAAATTGTGTGAACGTTTTGATAAAGTTTTAATGCACGAAGGACTTACTAATGTATGTAAGACTTCCTCCTCGCCATCTCTCATTTGCCGTTTCAATGACTTGCTTCAACACCCGTGCTCACAGACCATCCCCAGTCTATGGTTCTCACTTAATCGCAAAACTGAATGCATGTGTATGTTTAGCGAAGACCCGGAAATCTTCTAAGTTATTATCTCTGTCTACCACCAAGTCACTGAATCACCATTTATTTAATGGAAAAAAACACACACAGTGAGTGTTTGAGTTAAAACCCTTTAAGGGCGCATGGACGGGATCCCAGTCTCCACCCAGAATGAAGGAAAGGAGCCTGAGCAGCTGAATTCTGCCCTGCACAGGTCTTTCAACTGAACAGTGGGGAAAAGAAAGGAAAATTCTTTAAGACATCAAATTCCTGCATTCTTATGCTAGGGGTGGGGGGATCTGGGTGGAGAGAATTGGACACTGGTGATAGGATCACTGTTGGAACATTGCATGCCTGAAACCCATGCATGAGTAACCTTGGGACTCAATTAAAAAATAATTTTTAAAAATACATTAAAATATTTATTCTTTCAAAACGTTTTTCTCCGCAAAAGGACGTTCCACTTGTTCACATGCTGTGTGTTGGTAACTGTTGCTAGAAAAGTAATGCTTAGACATAAACAGAAGAAACTCACGGATAAAATAAAGTCCATTTTCAAAACCTATTTTAGCACCTAAACTATCCAGAATTCCCCCATGGACTTTATCTGCTTATAAAAAATACCTTTACACCAAGGCCTGTCTGAAATTGTCAACTTTAATTTTATGGGGGGTGGGGAGAGGCACACCGGGTGATGCTCAGGGGACTCCTGGCTCTGCACTCAGCAATCACTGGGCGGTGCTCAGGGGACCATATGGGATGCCGGGGATTGAACCCGGGTCAGCAGCGTCACTGGACTATCACTCTGGCCCCTCAATTTTAAAACGATCACTTAACCTCATAGTTTCCTATGCAGAATAACACTGCAGACAACCAAGGGCGAACTGACAGAGACTGATTTTATGGTCCTGACTACCCTGATTTGCTTTATGAAGGGTAGGCCTCCTAAATGGTGCTCAGGGGGTCTGGGGTGGGGGGGTATCACTCCTGGTGATTCCCTGCCAGCCCATAGATGTGGAGATAGCCAGTGAGACCCTGGCAGGGACTGCGAACCTCCAGGGCCTGGGGGCTCATCTGGCACTGGGGACGGAACTAGAGACGACCCCTACTAGTACTTTCGTTTTCAAGTCATCAGACCACAAAACTTAGAAGTAAATGTACTGACCAGAATGTCAAGAGTAACTCAGGAGGTGCCCGGTGACACTGACAATCCTCTTTATGGTAACTATCAGTTATGACAAAGTCCCAGTGACACGCAAGATGCAAGAAACGTCTTGTCCGAATGAGTCCACACTTTAATTTTTTTGAAAGATTGGACATGGTCTTGTCAGAACCTCAGTTCCTACTACAACATGGGCTTGCAACCAAGCAGGACCCAATGTCAAATGGCCAAGCAAGGTAGCAGCGTTTCAGGTCAAGGAATACAGTCCCGAATCTGTTGCTGCACTTTCATTTGTACTAAAAGATTGATTGAGAAGCATTATAAAGAAATGAATGAATCTGAAAATGATGTATTTTGTAAACTCTACTGCTAAGTATAAAGCGATCACTCATTATTCAAAGTAATTAAGAGGCAGAAATGACTCCTTAAGTCATGAAAATATATATGACCTAGGTATCTAAAGTAACTCCCAAATGAAGCATTAAGAATTTTATTAAAAGTTTCCAGAATTGGGGCTGGAGTAATAGCACAGCGGGTAGGGCCTCTGCCTTGCACGCGGCAGACCCAGGTTCGATTCCCAGCATCCCATATGGTCCCCTGAGCACTGCCAGGGGTAATTCCTGAGTGTAGAGCCAGGAGTAACCCCTGTGCGTTGCTGGGTGTGACCCAAAAAGCAAAATAATAAATAAATCTGAAAAAAAAAAAGTCTCCTGAATTTTCTGATGCCTGGTTACAAATAGGCTATTAACAATCAAGATGTCCCAAAGCAAGTGAAAAGATAATGGCAAAACTTAGGATGAATGCTACATGTAAATATGCATGTTTACCTGCCCTTTAGAATGGAGTAGAGAATGAGCAAACATAATCTTCCATGTAACATGGGACCAGAACCATTTTCATATGTCAACATTTTTCAGTCAGTCCATGTAAGCTCTCACCATTCCCAGCACACACGTTTTCAGGATTCATCTAGTTTCCATTTATTTCTATTTAAGTTATACAACACCTCACTTCGAAGTCCTTAAGAATAAAAAGGAAGTAGCACAGTGGGTAGGAAGCTTGCCACGTATGTGGCTGACCAGGAGTCTACACCTGGCGTCACCTGATCCTTGAGTGCAGAACCAGAAATAACCCCTGAGCACCGCTGCGTATGCCCAAAAAGCAAAACAAAAACAACAAAAAAAAGGGAAATGGAAATCAAATCCTTTTTTCATCTTCCATTGACATCATTTTCCCCTCCCAATTCATTGTCACTCTTCAAGTGTTCTTTCCAGAAGAACAAGTTTCTAAAGCCAACAAACTATATGTAGGAAAATGAACAAAAGGATATGTTCAAGGACCCAGCAAAATACATTTTCCCGATATTTAAAATGCAGAATGTGAGAATCTTCTAACGGACAAAAGGGACCTCCAGAAAATTAACTGCAAGAAGAGGAATATTCACCAAATTTAGTGGGAATTTTGTTGGGATGCAGTTTTTAAGAATGCAAAAACACGAACTAAAGTCTGTAAAAGCAGGAAGTTGATGAGACAGTTTTTTGGAGGGCAAGGGCGAAGGCACAGTGGGTGGGGCACTTGCCTGGAGCCATCTCCTGCACCCTCCGTGGTCCCTGGAGCGCGGCCAGGCTCAATTCCTCAGAGCTGAGCCAGGAGCAAACCGAGAGCAGCACCGGGTGTGCCCCCACCAAGAAAGGTTTTCCTGGTGGCACAGCTGGCAGTGCTTGGGGACCATGCACCAGGACTACACCTGTCCCCTCCCCACATGCAGAGCGTGCCCTCAGTCCCTGGAGCACTCTCTGGCCTAGAATGTTCTGAACGTGGGCCTCTCTGAGCGTGCCCTGGGGGCCAGGAGGCGCAGGGATCCACAGGCAGGGCTGGGCGTATGCTGGGCGTATGCACTACCTCGTGACCCTTTCCTCTTTTCCAGAAAAGCTGGCAGTTTTAAATAATTACAGCTGTTTACTCTCTGGGGGATGACAAGGGGTTGGGGTTGCTTTTGCGCGTTTTTTCCCCATTTGA